TTCTAAGGGAACCCCAAAGTTTCATTTGCAGGGAGCAACAGGGGTGACTTGGGAACAGGCACTGATACTCTACAGAGTCCCATGCCCCAGGGGGATACTTGGTAGTGCTGTGCTGCAAGGAATGGTGGGAGCGATACAGGAGAAAGGGGAGGAATGCTTTGGCCATGCAGTTAATACTAGAGGTGCACTGATACATCGGTCTGATATCAGATCGGCACTGATATAAAGACAATAGACTATATTGGAAATAGTTTCATAGTTGGTAGGGTCGGAAGGGACCAGAGCAGATCATCAAGTCCACCCCCCCTGCCATAGGCAGGAAAGAATGCTGGGGTCAAACGACCCTGGCTAGGTGTTCATCTAGCCTCCTTTTGAAGACCCCCAGGCTAAGAGCAAGCACCACTTCCCTTGGAAGTTGGTTCCAGATCCTAGCCACCCTGACTGAAGTAGTGTCTCCTGATGTCCAGCCTGAACCTACTCTCAGCCAATTTATGGCCGTTATTCCTAGTTACTCCTGGTAGTGCTTGGGGGAACAGGGTCTCTCCCGTTACCTGCTGGTCCCCCTTGGTAAATTTATAGACGGCCACCAGATCCCCTCTTAGCCTTCTCTTGTGAAGGCTGAACAGGTTCAGGTCCCTTAGCCTCTCCTCATAAGGCCTGCCCTGCTGCCCCCTGATCATGCGAGTGGCCCTCCTTTGGACCCTTTTGATGCTGTCCACATCCCTCCTGAAGTGCAGCGCCCAGAACTGGACGCAGTACTCCAACTGTGGCTTGACCAATGTCGCATAGAGGGGGAGGATTACCTCCTTGGATCTGCTCATGATGCATCTGTGGCTGCATGACAAGGTGCGGTTGGCCCTACTGACCGCATCAGCCTGATGTGGCCGATAATTTGGCTGATAAATGCCCATATGTGCACACAGCCACAGTGCAGCACGTAGGCAGTGAGGAGGACAGCCCAGCAGCTTGGAGAGCTGTGTGCAGCTAGTAAGTCTGTTGTGGTGAAAGGAGAGTGGGGAGGAAAGGGGCGTGGGGTGGCAGATCAACGTCCCCTACAGTGAAGGAGGGAATGGGGCTGGGGTAGGTGCTGCCCAGCCAGGGTGGGGCAGGTGCGGGACTGAGCCACGGCGGGGCGGGGTGGCTCCTGCTGCTGCTGCGTGCTGCTAGTCAGGGAGTGGTTCGTTTGGTTGCTTGTTCAGAGGCTCCTGCTGCTGCTCCCGCTGCTCATCTAGGAGGACATGGGGGGTCCTGTGTGCCCCCAGATCTGTAGGATGGGCTGCAGCTGCGGGCTGGAGCCGGGGCTGTGCCGCGCCACGCTGCGCTGCACTTAGGGTTGGCGGAGAGGGCACGGGGGGGAGGGCTGCAGCCATCCCAAATTTTGCTCTAGCCCTGCCATAGCCTTCTCCCAGCACTGCCGCTGCCCACCCCAAGCACAGCGCAGCCCCTGGCTACAGCCTGCCCGGCCCAGCCCTTACAGAACCGGGGGCACATGCCCCCCATGCCCTCCTGAATGAGCAGTGGGAGCTTCCAGATGAGTGGCACGCAGAGGCAGGAGCACCCCCCAGCACCCTGGATGAGCCACGGCTCCATCCTGTGCCCGCCCCACCCTGCTGGGCCTCACCTGCCCCAGCCGCAGCCCTACTCCCTCCCTCACTGCAGGCAGCATTAATCGGCCCCCCTATGCCCCTTCCCTACCTCCTCCCCTTCCACCACAACAGACTTATCAGCTACATACAGCTGTATCAGAAATCAGTATCGGCTGATATGCCTCCTTAAAAATCTGCTATCGGTATCGGCCCCCAAAATCTCTATTGGTGCACCCCTAGTTAATACTATTCTCTATACTCCACCATAGTGCTCTGTGCCACCAGGCATGCTGTGTTTTGGGTAAGATGTAAAACTTGCCCTCACGGCTGTTGCTCACTGAAGCTCCGTGGGCACATCTTCCAGGTGTCAGGGTGTTAGCTAGATCCCTGTGAAACTTTCCCAGCAAAGCCCAAACAATTTGAAGCTTAGTGAATCCCAGATTCTAAGACAGAAGCCAGTGAGTGTTTCTATGGGCCCTGTACATCTTTCATCAACACCTGTCACAGCCTTTGTGGATGTGGTTAAGGATGTGATTATTTTTGTGAGGGATTCTCAGCTTTTGTTACAGTTTTGTAGCATCATATCTGATCCTGCTAGAGCTGAGAATCACATGTGCTGAGCACAGGTGTAGTCCCATGCCAGGTCTTTCAGGTTATACAAGGCTGCTCCCTGATGCACAGCACTTAAATGTAGTTTGCTGACTATCGTTTCACCCAGAACTTGAAACTAACTTCAGAAGGCAATGTAATGGGCTAGGGGTCAGTCCCAGCTCCGTAGACTGGGACTTAGAAGTCCCACTTACTTCCTATGTAATTTTGGGTATGTCACTTCACCTCCCTGTGCCTATTTCCACCTTTGCCATTTGTCATTCTTGTCTATTTATAAATCTAATAAAAATTTAGAAACTTGCTCGTTGGGACAGGGAGTGGGTGTTTGTGCGGAGCCTAGCACAACGAGGTCCTGATTTTGGTTGTCATCTAAAAAGAAGGGTGTGAAACAAATACTAGATGACAGTAAGTGCAGTTTCTCAGAACCAGGTCAAATGGCAGAGACATCTCTCCCATGTGTGCACTAACAAAAATGAAAATATGAATGCTTAGCATGGCTACAGTGTTGGGAATTTTGGTAGCTCTGTGGAAAGTTGACAGGGTGTAAACAAAGCTAACCGTTAGCAAAGCACATCCCAGCAAGTAGGTGTATGACCTCGCCATGGATGGGGGTGGGGAATGCATGTGACCATCATGCCCTCTTCACACTGGGTGAGACACTAGAGCAGGGATCAGATCATGTGGGCTGGATATGACCCACGGTACCATTGGATCCAGCCTCTGGACCTGGGGCTTCAGTGACATTCAGTGGCAAAGAGGTTGGTGGTGGGGAGTTCTCCCGTGCCACAGCAGGAAGAAGTGGTGGTGGTTGCATCCTAGCACCCATCCGCCCACCACTCTTATCTCAGCGGGGTTATGCCAGCTGGCAGCCTGACAAGGTTGTCAACCACTGCTCTATAGCTAATTATTCCTGTTGCAGAACTGGGCCCCAGCTTCCCGCTTCCCAGTGCAGCTGCCCTAGGAATCCCTAACTGGCTGCACCAGGTCAGACTGCTGCTCCCCCTGCTTTTCCTTTCACCATGCCTTCCAAGGAGGCAAGAGGCCTGGAAAAGGGCAGGGCACTGGTTGATGAGGTCAGTGCTTGCTGTAGGCTCAAGGTATGTGGGTCTAGGTGTTCAGAGCTTTTACGGAAATAGCCCACCTGTGGAGCCCTTCTTGTAGGGCAGTGGGGACAAACCTTTGTGGTAAGTATGTCATGAATTAGCTCCACACACTTCGCAAGTGCTACTCTGATCCTCTTCCCCTGCCCTACCTGCTGCTCTGTATTCTGCTGCCTGCCCAATCTGCTGCTCTGTCTCCCACTGTGCTGCCTGTTCCTTCCCTGATCTGCTGTGCCACACACAGAGGCTGCCTGTGCCACTTGTGGCACCCATGCCACAGGCTGGCCATCCCTATTGTAGAGCATGGGTGTCACCTGTATGCCTGGGAGCCATGAGAACCAGTGCCATGGTTCATATAGAGCAGTACCTGGATGCCTAAAAAGTGGGAGAGTTTGCAGATAGAAGCATAGTTAACTACAGGCAGGGGCATTGCCATAGTGCACCTATAAGGTTCAGTCCTCCAAGCCAACTCTACTGTGCCAGGTCCTCCTTCTCCAGAACAGGGAATGGACCCCCCTCTATTCCCACAGTGGTAGGTTTAACTCAATCACTCGGACTTTTGAATGGGTAGATTCCCTCCGTGACGTCAAGAGCATTGTTTTGGAAGAGAAGGTTTGTTCATGAGGGCTTGTTGGACATACTGGCACTCCCCAGGGGCCCTGGGAATCTATTGATAACTGCTTCATCTTATGCTGATGTGGAAGAACACCACAGGACCAAACCAGGTCCTTTGTTTCCAGAACTGGGCTTGAGTCCAAGACATCACCCATTATGGCTTGAGGGGTAAGGGAGTATGCTGCATCTTCCTCTCATGCTTCAAGCCAGTGAAAGCTTTGCAGTGGGGAACAACTGTGCAGCAGCAAATTGCACTTGCAGCTACCTTGGGTAATAGGGACACTTACCCCAACACAGCAGAAATGGCCAACAGCACTCACTGGGACCCACACAGAGCCTGGGATTTCCTGCCTGGGCTACTGTCCTCCTTGGCCACTGGTGGTCTAGCTAAACACTGCCTCCTTCAGGATCCAGTGGTTCCATCACTGGGGACCTCCTTGGTAGGTCACTGAGGACCTCTGACCCCTCCATGCCCTCACTATGCACTGCCCTCTCTTCCTCTATGGGTTTGTATCACCAAGTTCTGCCCCTTCATACTCTGTTGGACCCACAGCTTGACATGGCTCCCTGATCACACTCTAAGGACCCTGTCCACGTTAGGCTCCTGAGGCTCTTTTTGCTAGGTGCTAAGAGGAAACAAGGGAGAGAACGATGGAGCAGGAAAGTGATGTGAGCTCTTTGCCATGGGTCGTTACTGTAAAAATTCTTTTACAAGGCCATATTAAAGGAATCAAAAGTGGCCTGGACAGAGAATAAGGAGGTGTTTTGGAAAAACTTGGGAAAACAGAATACAGAAAATGGCCAGGACAAGGTGAGTGGCTGGAGCCCTGTGAGATGTTGGACAGCTGAGTTTTCAACACTTAGAAAATGTCTTTTGGCCAGCGCTCCTACCAGGAGGCAGGAAGGTGGTCTGGAGCACCTGTTAGCATACACCTACCTCTGAAATCAAGGATTCCAGGTATTCAAAGGGAAGAGAGGGATAGGAAGATAATTTGTTGGTTGCTACTACCAGCACAGATGTGGTGGTAGGGGAATGTGGTGAGTAGAGCCCTGTCAGTCTCTTGCTACTTTTTATCTCTCTTATTTGTAGCGGCTTATGAAGATGGTCCAGTGTCCTGCACCTGACCTCTGACTTCACCATGATACCAACAACTCATTCCAGCCTCTGAGACTGAGCAGGGAAGGCGGTGAAGGCCCTTTACTCTCAGGTAGGAATAAAGCAAGGATGCAGCTAAAAGTCCAAATGGCAACAGAACAATACAATTCTGTGGGGTGGAGGCCAGGGATGTGGCAGCCCCAGTGGCTAGCACCACCCCCCACTTCTGCAGCACCACTTGCTAGGAGATTTTTTGCTCTGACCTCTGTAGTGCCTGCTTCTGGGCCAGGCTGGGACTGCAGCAGCTATCAGATCACCCTGTCAGCATGCTGTCCCTAGCCTAATTATGTCCCTACCCAGTTCCTTCCACTGGGAAAAGCTAGGACTGGCCTGGCTCCCCAGCCAAAGTCCCCTGCAGTCCCCACCCTCCCTCCTGTCCCTCACTGACCCTGCCTGGGTTTTTGCAGGGTGAGGCCCAACAGATTGGACAGGAGGCACGGATGGACAGCATGTATTTTCCTGAGTCAGCACCAGGGGGCCCCAACCCCATCTCCCTGGATGTTCTCAGCTTCCTGGACACATTAGCGAACAGCACGGAGGAGCAGTGCTTCAGCGCCCGCTCTCACAGCACGGTTCTCCAGGGGCTGCCCTTCGGCGGTGTGCCCACTGTGCTTGCCATCAACTTCATCCTCTGGTTGGTGAGTGAGCAGGTGTGGGGGGGCTGGGTACCAATCCCCACCTCCCTTCCCACATTCCAGGGAGATGGTCTTATGCACACAGGAAAGATAAGCCCTTTCCAAGGGTCTCAGGGCGACTAATGTCTGAGTGGGAGAGGAGGGGCACCCTTACTGCAGAGGGCCATGTGTACAGCATCCCAGCGGGTGGCAGTAGAAGCAAGGACCAAGACAAATTGAACCAGGAGGTCCCTTGCAGGTCCTCTTTGCCTGTGGAAAGACAGCTTTAACCATGTGCACTTTCCCATAGCAACAGTCATACTCAGAAACCTGGGCCCTGTAACTACCCCTCTGTGGTAGCACTGGTGGATGCTGCAGCAGAGACAAGGTTTGTCACTGTCACCCTCACAAAGCGTGAAGGGATGACACAGCAGCAAAACCACATCACCCTTGTCTACACTGGAGCTTTTACTGATACCTGGGCTAAAGGAAGTGTGGGAAGAGGGTGTATACATGGCTGTGGGTGTGGAGTTGGTATCCCTGAGGGGAAGCTGGTAGGAACAGCAGCCATAAACACGTGTGTGCCTTACATGAACCACCAAGGGGGAATCCGATTCTGCCTACAGACATGTGGGTGGGTTTCAGTGCATGCCATGTGTCTGCAGCAGGTGTACAGCCCAATCTGCAAGTGGGGAGGGGCTGTACTATGAGCTGAGCAAGCAGTTTTGCCCAAGGAGTATTTGGCAGGTTTCTGTGTATGGACTCTTCTCTTTACCTGTGTGTGTAGTAGGCACTGTGGCTATGTAGGTGTCTGCCTCTGTGTGTGGAGAGCTATGCTCACCTCAGCTGTGTTAGCTTTCCATCTCTGTGTGTGTGCATTCTCTCTGGGCGTACAGGGGTGTGGATATATATAGTCCCCTGGGTTTAGTGGGATTTTGCTAGTGTGTGAGTACAGTCAATAGTCCCCTGGGTTTAGTGGGATTTTGCTAGAGTTTGAGTACAGTCCCCCTGCCAGTGGGCCTCTGGCAGCTGTGGTGACATTGCTAAGGCAGGAGCACAGTTGGCCATCAGCACTGAGGGGACACAGTAGAGATCAGGCAAAGGGAACATTAACCCTTTGATTTCTCCCACCTGCTGAAGCTCCTCCTCCTGGTCTTCTCCTGCCTTCGAAAAGCAGCTTGGGACTATGGGCGTCTGGCCCTGCTGATGGATAATGACAGGTAAGAACTAAGCTTCCTTCCTAGATGCCTTAATGGCCTTGTCAGTCTCCAGCCTCTGCTACAGCTATCAAGGAAGAAGCCAGTTAGTGCCACTTGGTTATAATGTGGATAGAGTTTCAGGTATTGGGGGATGTTGCAGCTCATAACCTCTGTAGCTGTCTTGCCTCCTCCATGCTGCAGACTGTCTTAAGAGAAGTTGAACTCTCTGCTGTGCTACAGCACAGCCTGGGCTGCATCTGGGCCAGCTTTCCCAGCAGGCCCTAGTTGGTGTTGCTTGGTACAGAGCGAGCCAGCACCAGGCAGGTTTTGACTCTGGTGTGTTTAGGGATATGGCTTTCTTTTCATGCAGTTATTTTAAGGAATGCCATAAAACCCCATTAGCATGTGCAGCATTTATTGAGCTAAAGCACCATTTCCCCTGCCTCCTGCCACACAGTCGCATAATACCTTAGGCAAGCCCCCATCCTCTGACTGAAATTTCTGATTTGCTCCTGTCACTGTGGGCTTGATTCCCCACCTGCTGAAACCACTGGCAAAGGTGTGGCTGAATGCAATAGGCCAGGAGTCAGCCCATGGCCTGCACAGAAGGACTCCCTGAGGGCTAAGGAAGTAGCTGGCATATGTCTTGGTGCTTTAGCCTTCTGGAAAAGAGGGTGCCTCTTGCAGAGAGGTCCTGAGTGTGCATCTGGATGAAACCTTCAAGCTATGATATGGCAAGAGAAAGGAGATGATGGTGTAGGGACACACTTGGAGGGGGGTGTGGAATTTGCTGTCTGGGCGGAGGTGAGAGGACCTGTAAGGAAACAGGTAATGGTTGAGCTTGGAATAGGTGATAGTTGGGGGGGATTATGGCACCTGGTGTGCTGCAGTTCTTTGTGTTACTAACAGTAAGGTGGAGGTGAAGGAGGAGTGAGTGTATGGGGAGTAAAGGTCTCGAGGCTGCAGTTGTGATAGCTGACTAGGTGATACTGTGCAAAGGAGTGGTTGCAGGGAATGGGGAAGGGAACTGGGCAAGATGATCAGGGAATGATGCAGTCTTCTGAGTAGCTGTTGGTGTGTCTAATTGTCTCTTTCCCCCCCGCACTTTTGTAACAGCCGAATCCCGCCAAGCACATGGAACTCCTATGAGTAATGATACTAGTGATCTGGTGACTGGCGTTGGTGGCAGGATACGTTTCTTGGAAAAGAAAGAATCAGTAGCTGCTTTCCTAGGGTGTTTGAGGGGCAGGTGACTAGCCCAGACATCTCCCAGCATAGAGCCTGGCACTGGCAGCAAGAGGAGGGCTTGAGGACAGTTGTGTATAGCAGCAAAATTCCCAAATTCTTCCACTCAGCTGCAGTGGGTGGAAGGGAATATCAGTAGTCTCTGGGCCTTAGGACAAAGCCCTACATTAAAATATGAACATCCATCACAATTAAAAATGACTCCGGCACCAGGTTTGAGGGGGTGGGGGTTACATTCTGAGAGGTTTTGTTGTCCATTCACCCCTCCATACCCTGCAGCCTGAAACCAGACTGATCTGCCAGGCCTCCCCTCCTAGGCTTGCCAGGCTCCTCAGTATTTTAGTGCCATCCTGCTCCCC